TAACCCCAGAACAGAATTCAGTTCTTCTGAAAGGTCTCTCATTTGTCCAATCACCCTGCGGTTTAAAAACCCCAAAAATACAATTTCAGAAAAGTCTACAGGCGTACCATCGCAGAATTAAACTAGAAACAAAGGAGAAAAAAAAGGCAAAAGAAAAAACTTCCTTTCACTCACGGATCAGACTGGCTCAAATTATCAGAGCAGATTACTATGCATACAAGCATCTAAATTGGGGTGCCTTGGCAGAGCCCAATCTGTCCAGAAGTGAAAGGAAGGCTATCAGTGAATTAAAGAATAACAGAAATATAGTTCTAAAAACCACAGATAAGGGGAACACAGTGGTTATAATGGATAGAGACCAGTACTTACGGGAGGGACAAAGACAATTTGCTGTAGCCCAACACTATTGTCCCTTGAGTGAACCAATTTTCCCAGAAACGATGATAGAAGTAAAACAAATCTTAGAAGAGGTGTACAAGAAAGGCATAATCAATGGTAAACAAAAATAATATTTAATAGGCCCAGGCATTCCCCGGCCCAGAAGGTTTTATCTTTTACCAAAAATACACAAGGACCCCAAAAACTGGAGTCTCCCCCTTCAGATTCCACCGGGGAGACCCATTGTGTCGGATTGCAGTAGTGAGACATACTACACGGCAGAATAGCACTTTTTAGGCACCATTTGACAGAAACATTCTAGTTACCTTAGAGACGGAGGCCGGCATGCAGGCGTTTTTAAAAATGAATGGAAAAATTCACAGATATTAAAAGACCAGATTAATATATTTTAAAACTATTAGAAATAAATGTAACAAAATAAAATTTTGAATTTGACTCCAAATTTCACCTTTAGATCAAGATGGGCAAGAAATTTGCACTCTCTTAACGCAAATATATTTATGGCCTCATGGGAGGAATCAGCTCTTTCTGCCTTTCCTATTAAACCTTTTGCCTATTATTGTTTCTTGGACGACATCTAGGGAGTATGGACTCACTCAAGGGAGGAATTTACTGATTTCACAACGCATTTGAATCAACATCAGCTGCCACCCAGAAACGTCCTTGGCGGGACTACCATATTACGTCTTTCCTCCTTCCATTTATCTTTTCTCGGCCCACATCTGGGAACATGGAGAGGGGAGAAGGGAGAAAAGATGAGGAAGACAGAGCAGATGTAATCACGGAGCAAAGACATGGTCAAGAAATGCAGGAAGGAAAGAACATGACAGAAAGGCACAGGGTAGAAATCAGTGCAGAAGAGAGCAGGATGCAGAGTCTGGTAGAGGACGTGACTAGAGAGGAGGGCAGAAAGAGGCAGAGCACAGACTTTAACCAGTCCCGACAACGCCGCAGAAGAGTAGAAGCAGCATCGTTATCTTTTTTTGAAAGGACAATTGTTGAAGCAATTGAAAGCTCCAACTGTCCCACCCGTGCTGGATCAGAAGATCCTGACATGCAGTTTCTGCAGAGTTAGCTCCCAGCCCTGAAGAGACTTGATCCAAAATGCAGGGCTTCGAAAATTAGCTGGTACATTTTCAGCTTGGTGAGTTCCGAGTTTAACTGTGAGTTTTGGATATCTCAGACTTGATATTCTGTTTAAAATTGTGAATGGTGGTGATATTGCATTAAAAAAATATAACTGTACTTATAGTTGTTGTTTTTTTGCAGAAATATTCATCAGGACCTCATCTCTGATTGGACCTCTTCTCTCTCTCTCTCACACACACACACACACACACACACACACTCACGTTCCATGTAAACCACCCAAAACCCATACTCGTTGTTACACTCAGGTTCTCTGTAGTTAATGTTATGTTCTGGCATGTTCACTAACACACATGCACACACTATTCACACATTAAAAATATACATGACATACATTTAACATCTCTATAATAAAAATTAGTGTATCCCATTTCGAACACTGCCACTCACACTAACTTAGTGTATCCCATTTCGAACACTGCCACTCACACTAACTTAGTGTATCCCATTTCGAACACTGCCACTCACACTAACTTAGTGTATCCCATCATGCATCATGTTCTGGAAATAAATCATGAGACTTTTTGCCCAGATCTCATTTGTTTCTTTGACCTCTCTACCTCTCATAGTAGAGAGGTCACAGAAACCTTTCCAATGTAAGTTAAATATTAATAATAATTAGATTTTACATTTAATTTGGTAGTAAAACAAAGTGTTGCACATTTTATTGGTGCAAAGATGATATTATATATTTATTTTGTACGTTTGCAAGTGCCCAGCTAACAATTTTTGGTTCCCAGAACGTTAGTTTTTGGTTAGCCAGGAAAGTTTTCTTAACAGAAACAGAACGTTAGTTTTTGGTTTGTAGAACATTCCCATAACGTTATTCTAACATTCCCAGAATGTAAGTTTTTGTTTTTTTTAGAACGTTATTCTTATGTTCCACTAACGTTATTATAATGTTTCCCTAACCTCTTTACTCCAGTATTATCACCCCGCTGTACGTCAGTAATCATCCAGCACACACAACCCAGTATAGTATAAGTGGCATGGAAATGATCCATATGGACGCCTAATCAGTATTATAAAAACCATATCTTGTTTTTATCTATTGTTTAATTAATAAAAATAATCTGAGCACATCAACTATCATATGTAAGATTAAATAAGATTAAATCTGTCCTTTACGGGGTAGGCCTACCCAGATTTTATTTCTTCAGCACCAAATAAAAATAACTTCACACACTGTATGGTTTATAAAATATGACGTTTATTCACAGATATTAAAAAAATAAAAAATAATTACTTGACTTAAAGTATATCAGTACATTCAGTTTTAAATTTTAAGTAATCATTCAATAAATAGATTGATAAATGAGCAAGTACGAGTATGTATAGGTCATATAGCTCTGTATAGGTCATTACACAAAAACATCTGCAACGTTTTCATTGGAAAGATAGTTTTACAGGGTTATAAAAAATAACCTAAAACTTACTATTAGGGAACATTCTCTATAAGTTATTTTTAGGTTATTTTAAAAATAACCACCCTGCAACGTTCTGGGAACGTTATTTTATGGTTACAAAAAAAAAATAACCTAAAAAGAACGTTGTTAATATTTGGTTCGCAAAAAAATAGCCAAACGGGAACCAAAAACTAACGTTAGGGGAACGTTCTGTATTTGCTGGGTGCTTTTTATCACTTATTTAGAAGCACCACAAATTAAATTGTGTCATCTGTAATATGGGCTGAACAGACATTTAGGAGTTTATTTTAAAATGCAAAGTATTGAAAATCAAAATAAAGCTCTGTAAACACTTGCATTTTTACAACACTATAAGTGTGTTCCATCGGGTAGGGTTGCCCCACGTCCCTTAAAATATGGAATCGTCCCGTATTTAAATGTAAAATTATGCGTCCCATATCAAATCGATACGGGACGCGATTTGTCCCGTATTTTACAAAGGCCAAGGATTTTGCAGGTTGGATAATACTAGCAATTATAATGAAATGCATTTTATAAGAAGTATTAGAGAAGATCATTTTTTGCGTGATTGCATTTGGCATCATTTTTGGCTCTTTCACACGGAACGCAGCATGCGGTAAACCTGCGTGGCTCACGTCCGCCCTTTGAACACAAGATGCTCTCCAGATGTAGGGCTGAATTATCAACGGGTTTGTCCAGTAACTAATGATGAACGCGCAGATTGCAGAGAAACATTTCAGTTGCTCACGGTGGACTTAAAAGGACAGTTCACCCAAAACTGAAAATTCTGTCATCGTTTACACATCCACAAGTTGTTCCAAACCTGTAATCATTTATTTCTTCTGTTGAAGATAAAAGAAGATACTTTGAAGAATGTGGGTAACCAAACAGTTTCTGGTCCCCAATGACTCCGATAGTATATTTTTTCCCTACTATGGAAGTTACTGAGGACCAGCAGCTGTTTAGTTGAGACACATTCTTCAAAGTAGTCTATCTTCTTTTGTATTCAACAGAAGAAAGAACTTTATGCAGGTTTAATACAGCATGAGTAAATTATGACAGAATTTTCATTTTTGGGTGAACCATACCCTTAAAGTGACAGACACATCCATGCTTCTAACGGTATCGGCCTAGTGTTTTATTAAAATTGGGATAGTCTGTTAATATAATATTCCATACATTATCAGAGCTTGGTAGACATAATTATTATATTCTTAGACATTATTAGACAGATGAATTAATAGATTATAATTAGTGTTAGGCCCTATTTATTAATTTATCATTTATATTAATCATAAATATATAAATAATAAATCATCATATTTGTCATATACAATTTGGCATTTTAAGTGCTAAATTATTTAGATAAAATTGGAACAAATAATTACATAATAATGTAGTCCTAATTTAAGCAAATGAATACAAAAATTGAAATTCATCCCATCCAGGTAACAGCTGCAGAACTGTCAAAAAGGATTAATAATTAATCATTATAAATAAAATAATCAAATTAAAAATAACAATATAAATGTGTTCTGTTGCATGCTCACTTGAACTCTTGGGCCAAATACAGGAAATACATCATATAAGTAAGTAGTCAAGTGCAAAGACCGTAAGTGTGGGCATTTGGACAGAGCAATTGTGTGCAGAGTAGAGCCCGAGGGTTTGAATTGAGCTTGCGGGCTCCCGTTTGCTCATGTGTAGATCTGTTATCCTCTCACAGAAGTAATTTACCGCGCGCGCCAACATCACATGTGCTCTTGGATCGGTGTATGACATCAAAGTACCGCGAGAGTTATAGAGAGCAGACGGATCCTTATGCTTTTGAATCACTCTCGCGGTACTTTTGATGTCATACATGCTGCTTCAAGTCGAACACACCTAATGATTTGCCGCCATAAAACTCCACCCTCTTAAAACACTTAGCTACCAGGAAAAGACCGTCTCATTATTTCACTCCTTTCAAACCGAGTTTCTTTGGAATTGCTGGACAAAATCAAATAGGAATCAGCCATCAAAGATTTTTAGGAAGTTTGTTTCTGAACAGGCAGTGGACCTCTGCGATTCTTGTGGTTATTCGTTTTTTAAAACATTCAGAAAGTGAAAGTAAAGTTTAGGTCGCTGGAGCTCAAACGGTGAAAATGGCCTCATCAGCTGAATATGAAAGAAATGAGAGATATTCATCAGGATCTGAGGAGATCTGCAATATACACAGTGAGAAAGTAAGACTCTTCTGTCTGGAGGACAAACAGCTTGCGTGTTTAGTGTGCAGAGATTCAGAACAACACGACAATCATAGATTCAGACCAATAAGTGAAGCGGTTCCATTATGTAAGGTAAGAAAAAAAAGCATCATAGAAGTTGTATGTCATACTCATAATGTAGAAATGTCTCAGTATCATTTTGCTCATGCTATGTATTACATACATCAATATATTACATAAATCTCTGGTATCTTATAGACTTTCACTTTAAATTCTAGGAGGAGCTCAATACAGCACTGAATTCCTTACAAGAAATAATAAGAAACAATGAAGAAATGAAACAAAGGTTTGAGGAAACTGTTCAATACATCGAGGTGAGGACTGATTCTTTTGACATTTACAAATGAGATCAGCTGATATTGATAATTACAGTCGTGGCCAAAAGTATTGGCAGTGACATAAATTTTGGGTTTTGCCAAATTTGCTGCTTAAGCTGTCGTGGTGTTCATTCACATTGTTTCTTGATTATGTCACTGCCAATAGGATTTGAGGCAAGGATGCAAAAGAGCACGAGGATGGAGGAATTGAAGTAAAACTTATTTGTATATTGGAATATTCTTGATCAATTGACCGTTCGCAAAGAGCTTGATTGACAGGTGATCTGACCAATCAGAACGCGGATATTATGGGCCGCCGCTGCTATCCGCCATCTTGCCCGACAGCTATGACTGGTCTCCATAGAAATCCATGTTAAAACGGGGTAAAAAAAAATCGACTGAATTGAAATTTTTTCAAAATAACTAAATATAAAAATGTGTGCAGGGTTAAGCTGTGCTGTTGTTGGCAGCCACGGTAACTGCAATAAGCTAAAGGAATTCCTTTAAAGTACTTGTTTTGTGTACCAGAAAATCTGTCATGTCCGGCGCTGTATCCATGGCTTGCAGCGCTTAAGTTAAATACTGAGTGTTAAATAATAAAATAATATGTTAAAACGTGTGCTCTTATCATTTTGTGAACAAATTCCTGTGAACTTTTTTTATGGTTTATGGTTTATGCACATGTGCACTCATCTGTTTTCAATGCAGCTAACCTTGTGTCGCTTCAAACTATGACAGGTCCTTTACTGCAAAAAGACGGTCACTGCGACACTCTATAGCGATGAAACTATGGCTTTTTTAAACCATTTTCATAGGGTTCACGTTACATTGTTGGCTCGGGAAATATGTAAATGCGCATATATAGCCGCAGCTGTACCCCTTCTAGCCTTAACCACAAATCAGACAGGAGATAGATTAACTTTGGCGGACTTAAACTTGAAATGGTGTGTTCCGCGCAAATTTTTGTTTATGAATGTAATATTTACCATGCAAAATGTAAGTTTACAACATATTTAAACATTTTGCTTTTGTGTAAGAACATCTTTTAAAGATAATTTATATTTAACATTTCTTGAGGCAAATAGAGAGTTCTACAGACTCAGATGGCTGCTCTGTCACTGATGTTGTTTGATTGTAATTCGCTTATTGCACTTTAATTTTGTTTGTGGCATTTATCCAGTGTTTCTTTTCCGTTTTATATTCACATTTATATTCTTCTACATAGGGCTGGACGATATGGCCAAAGTTTTCAGTATATCACAATATACTTCTTAATTTCAGTTGATACGATATAATTCCGATATCGATATGAACAATATTTTAAAAAGCCTCGGAAAAACTGCCAAGACTGTCTGCACCAACAAACTTCTGAAAAATTAATTCGAAATATGAAACCTCCTCCTATAAAACTATCTAGGCTAATATTTTAGAAATAAAAACAGTGCAAATAAATTAATGTTCACCTTTTATTTGTATGTAGCCTTAATACAAACAAGAAATGTGAAATCCCCGTCAAATAAACAAGACTGTCAGACTCACCTTATTAATATTAATGTCTTTAATCTATAAGAATAATCAGCCTATGTTATAGTTTAAAGTTAAAACAAAAGTGCTTCAGCCAGGATAAAGAATATGAAAAGTGCTCTGAGTTGCTGCAGAAAACAGAAAAAAAGAGCAGGAGGCGCTTTTGGAGCGGTAGAGACAGTGGTTTCCCCAGTAATGGCTGTACACAAAGCAGCGCTCCTCTCATAAACGCTACTTTATCAGATAAAATGAAAATGCCATCTAAACTTTTCTGAAGACAGTCGGTTCTCTTCAAACATACCTTCATATAAAACACCCGCACCGTGTTTTGATTTTGAAACGTGTCGTGCAGTGCTCACGTTTATTCAACAAATAAATCAATGAATGGGAACACTACCAGTTCTGTGTTTCCAGTCTTTACTTCTCCCTCCTCGTCTGTTCTCTCACCTGGGCAGATTTCAGAACACTTGGGGTAGACATTACAAGCGTCACTTCAACTCGTCATCAGCTGCGTTCAAATGATCTGCCCTTATGATGTTGATGTTGATTATTTAAGATATTCATAATAAATATTATTATGCACTTTCTATTCTATTTTAATTCTACTTTATCTACATTTATCTTTTTTTTTTTTATTAAAAAAAAAATTATAATAATATTTCTTCTTTTTTTCTATTCTATCTACTTTTTCTTTGTGTGTGTTTATATGTGTGTGTTTATGTGTGTGTATTATATACACACACACATATATATATATATATACACACATATATACACACCTTGCTACGTGTACTGCGATAGATAAACCGAGACTTCTCATTTGCACTTATATATTGTTGCTATTTTGTTAGTTTTGACTGCTTTTATTGTCCTCATTTGTAAGTCGCTTTGGATAAAAGCGTCTGCTAAATTACT